ATATATATATATATATATATATATATATATATATATATATATATATCCCTGTCCTTTGATAGTAGAGTGCTCTTATATGCGATGAACAATCTAACAGATGATTAAACATGGTATAAATTGTATATTAGTATTGAGTTAACATACATTTTATCAAAGTACTAGCACTACCAACTCATCTCGTCACCCGATCGAGGAGATCACCTAAGTAAAAATATGAGAGCTCCCACCAATTTTCTATAGTTGCCGAGGGGATTAACCCATGATCCCTACTTGTCCCGACTTCCTAAAAAGAGCTCATAAAATATACTCCTCGTTGACACTACAAATAAAGAAAGAGTTATGCTCCTATATTAATGGTTGACAAAATAGCTCCACTCCCCCACATCTCCCTTTCGGACGATTGAAGGAAGGACCACTCCCTGCCTAACTTAAAGCAGCTAAAAGGCTGAATAGGGAATGGCATCCCAATCGCCCAACATTGATGCTAGCCTCTAGATGACACGCCGATAAGCTGTCTCCATTAATGGCCATTAACAAGTAGGGTAGGAGGAACCCTCACCAATCCATGTCCTTGCCACCAAGCGCTCAAGTATAAAAATCGAGCCCTATGCCAAATAGGGGCAAGCAGGTGAACACAAAACTTTCTTGAACAATGCTAACTCTTTCCCCTCTTATCCCCTTGATTTAAGCATCGAAGGGCTCATGTTGAGACATCTCTTGACACAAACCTATTGTGTAGGATCCCTGGCGTGGTAAAGGAGGTACTGTGAGACAACTCTCCCACGGGCAAGGCGGTCCGTCCTCCTAGACCAGTTCACTCCCTCCATAAGTAGGAAGTTCTCCATGCTAGCTCTCTATGTCAGTGCCTCATGCTAGCTCTCCTCGAGTTGACTCGTTAATCGATGGCCTTAGTATAATAATATTTTGGCACTAGAAGGAGGGTCGAATATCTCAGGAACATCCTTCCACAACTCCTCCCAATGAGCGCTCCGACGAGGAGGTGCTACCTTTAGTGCTTGACTCCTTTGAGCAAGGAGGGCACCTGCCCCCCTTTCAACAAATCAATGCCTCCACCTTGGCACAAACATTGATATGCTTCTAGCGCCTGCTTAATGATCTAGGTCTTTCTCCCTCGAGGTCGAATGTGGGCTCCTTGCTCATCCCGCCTAAGGCCTTCCTAGGCTTGGCCTAACAAGTCTAGGCTCTCACCGACATGATGCAAGCCATCACCTTAGTCCTCCCCCAATTAGCATAGATGATGACCCTAGGATAGCCACCCGCTCTTCAATCGTTGTTCGCATCCCCTCCCCCCGAAGCCTGACCAACGAGTCCTCACCCGGTCTACCGAGGGGGCCGGAGCGAATGGCACGACACTACAGTCCTCGATGGTAGAATGCAACACCTCACTAAGCCATGTCATGATCTTATTCGAATCAGAAGCATAGTCCACTGATTCGATAGAAGACACCTTGAAGATGCTAGTCATAGGTGTCTTGTAAGCTAATCACATAAGTAATGACACGTGTGATATACTATGCACTCTTTTTTCTTATTATTATTTATTGATATTTTTTTTTCTTATTTTATGTTGTCTGTTGCATATATTGTGATGTCCATGGATCTGTACAATGAGAATCAGATCATAATGAGATTATGATAATGAGACCGATTCACTTTAAAACACAAACTCTAAATAATCCCGGTCATATGTTACTTAAGAGGGACATCAAGATAAACAAATAGACTTGTGTGATGTATACCCATCCATTTGATAAAAGTGGTTAGTCATATAACTACTAGCGTTGGGACACTAGGGATATAGTATAGGTACTCATTGTAGAATGAGTTCACTTATCGATCTACTTATGGAATGTTAGATGGTTGATGATACCTTATTGTCAGACAACCATTCTGTCATTCCAGTGGTGTATTTGGTCCTTAGACTTGAGATACTAAGGATGTCATATATGAGTACTCCACTCTTTGATACCAGACTTGTAGATCTGGAAGTTTCAGATCTAGCATAACTAGTCATCAAAAGTGGCAGCTAACCTTGCGAGGATTATTGAGTATTGATAGAGGATCATCCGCTCTCAGTGTCATAAGAGGAATATCCTATGTATTCTTGCTCAGGCAAATCCTTGACCAGGGTCATTCGGATTGAGAGAGGAGTTCTTAAAGAAAATCCAATTAGAGCCAGACTCGAGTAGAAACCGTATGGGCCTGATAGCATCATGCATAGTATATAATCTCTCGAATGTTAGATGGATGAGGGACTATAGATACATGATAATTGAGGATAGACAAGTCCAATTGATTAGATTCTTCTGTATCGTCTAAGGACTATCACGTAGTGGTTTAGTACGTCCGTAGTCGATGAGCTAAATAAATTATTATGAAGATAATAATTCACTAAGCTAGATGGAGTTTTAATAGGTATGACTTACAGCCAGCTTGATATTAGGCCTAGAGGGTCACACACATATGGTAGGTATTGCGACAAGTAGAGGTTCAGATGTGAGATATCTATTGGAGCCCTTATCTTTTTGGATATCCAACAAGCCTCTAAATTATTGGATCCTATGGATGAGGTTCAATAAGAACCAATAAGAGATTATTGGGCAGAGATTCACTAATTCAAGAGGCTTGGATAGTTGGTGCTAGTCATTAGGTGCCTTGTAAGCCAATCATGTGAGTGATGACACGTATGACATGATACACACTCTTTTTGTTTATTATTATTATAATATTTTCTCACTTCATATATATATAATATAGTGATATCTATGGATTTGTGTATTGAGAATCGGATCATGATGAGATCACGATAATGAGACCGATTCACCTTTAAACACAGACCCTACATAATCTCGGTCATAGGTTACTCGAGAGGGACATCGAGATAATCGAACAGACTGGTGTACTATATACCTGTCCATATGATGGATGCGATTGATCTTATAGCTACTCATGTGGGGATACTATGGATATAATGCAAGTGCTCATTGGAGAATGAGTTCACTGATTGATCTGCTCACAGAATACTAGATGGATGATGATATCTTATTGTCAAACAGTGGTTCCATCGTCCTAGTGGCTTACCTGACCCTTAGACTTGAGACATCAAGGATGT